CCACTGGAGCAATCTTTTTCTCACCAGAGAGCAAGCTGTAGAGAAGGACATAGTTGACAAAACAAGGATTTTCCAATACCACCCTCTGCCGTTTGGCATCCATATAACCAAACCAGGGATTGACATATGAGTCCCTTAATAGTAAACTTAAAAGACTATCCTCAGAAAGGTCCAGAAGAAATTTTAATTGGTTAACTAAAGATTAAGGGCCACGCTTTTGCCTTTTGTGCATGAAAGCTCATACCTTGAATAAAACTCTGTTGGTCTTAAAGGTGCCTGACTGGACTCAAACTTTGTTCTGCTGCTTTCCACCTGAATCCACCTTGTGTTATGTTTGGCTTTAAGATAATCCACAGGGTTAGTGTAGAGACTTTGTTGGGTGTATAAAGCTGTAGCTACAAAATACATTGCTTTACGGATATGAAAATATGGTCATTAAATAAATATTGAATATTGTTTTGTGTAGTAAAGCTTTACTGATTTCTGTCTGAAGACTTTGACGTTCACATTGGGTGACTGCTTTATGGTACACTGCAGTATTTTCTCTGGCATTGGGCTAAAAAAAATAACAGGACACAGTTTGGGCACAGAGTGTGGGAACGGACATAGAGATATCAGAGTAACACATGCTTCTTAGAACAAAGTTTGAGTCCAGTGGCACTTTTAGGATGAACAAAGTTTAATTCTGGGTATAAGCTTTCATCCGCATGCAAAGTGTGCCTGCACACGAAAGCTTATACCCAGAATTAAACTTTGTCGGTCTGAAAGGTGCCACCGGACTCAAACTTTGTTCTGTTGCTTTAGACCAACACAGCTACCCACCTGAACATGCTTCTTAGCTTCAAGTTGGGGAATCTCAATAGCAAAAATATAAAATAAAATAGGGGGACAGTGTGGCTGCTAAAGCCAGCTGTGGTTGGTGGCGCACCCTGGAAACTTGGTTGCGCAAAAGCAGGGCTGTCTGATGACTGGAAGAGCGGCTGCCTGCACGCTGCACTCCAGGAAAAAGAAAATCAATCACTGCTCATATCGTGACCATTTTTCAGGTGTTTGGGGGGGTGGTGGTGGTACTTTTTTTAAAGGGAGATCTGGAATGACCGTGACATAAATCATAAAAAGAGATCTCTGTCTGCTTTGTTTCTTCTAAGAACTCTGTGAGCAGAGCCCTCTTAGGAACTGACAGCCTGTGTGTGTGTGTGTAGCGTTTACTCCTGGTATCTGTATTTTAGATTTTAGCTTTCTCACATTTGGTGTCTGTTCTCTCTCTTACCTCTGACCGACATCCTGGCCCTTCGTTCCAGTTCTTAAAAAAATATTCTAAATTTTGCAAAGCGTGAATGTATTAGTAAACAAAGGCTATGATCCTACAAACACTTTCCTGGAAGTAGGCCTCGTTGAATAAAGTGGAACTTCTGAGTAGACCTCTTTAGGATTGCTCACTAGCTCATTCAGGGTAAGGGCATGGATAGCATCCAGGACTCTGCTGCCCCACACAAAGCTGGCGGGCTGGCAGGGGGACTCAGAGGCAAGCAGAAAGGGGCCCAGGCCAGCGTCTTTGGCAGCACTGGGACTCTCCCAGGTGACTTCGGCCCCCACACATGAAGCAGGCCACACACTGGATTTGGTTATCTGCGCAGGAGTCGATCTGGATACTGCCGTTAAAACTGAGCTGGTGTCATGGTCAGATCATTTCCTCCCACAGGTCGGTTTGACATTTGTGACTCCCCTCCGGAAGGGCAGCAAGCAGATTTATGCTCACCCATGGAGACTTAAAGATCCATTAGGATCCCAGAATGCACTGCGGGATCTCCCAGGACCTGTCGGCAGTTCCCGTGATGAAGTCACCGAGATGTGGAATAGGGATCTTTGGGAGATCGTTGACTGAATGGCTCCCCGACACCCTCTGTGCCCTCGGGCTCCTCGCGCTCCCTGTGTGTGTGGCGCATTGCCTTCTTCCACAGAGCAACCCCAGTCTTCCTTGGTTGCCTCCCATCCAAGTCCAGACTGCAGCTGACCCTGCTTAGTCCCCAACCTCTGACGAGCTCAGGTCAAAGTGGGCCGTTGGGGCGGCTAGCGTGGCTGTCAGCCCCCCCGGAAAAGTCGCACCCCGACAATTAGCTGGTGCCCGAAAGGCCCCTGTGCTGGTGGTTTGACTGCAGCGAATGCATTCAGTCAGTGTGCCCTCATTTCGTAAATGAGTCAGGGTTTTGAAAAGGACTTCATATTTTCACATTATTTACCATTCCCTGTCAGGCCAAGGAATGAATTGTACTTTCAAAACTTAGGTAGGAAAAATCCCATCACCGAACTGGCAGGCGCAACCGGCTTTCTTAAGAGGGGCCTGCTGGTGATGCTGCCAAAGGCCTCATCATTATTCCATGTGCTTTTGGGAAGTTGCAGCCTGGACTTTGAGCGATGCGTATTTAAGGAAACACACTTAACTAGTGAAGTGTTTGCTTCTTTATTGCACAAGTTGATCTTTGCTCCTGGAGTACCAAGAAAGGTCTCCTCTCGACAGCCTCCCCCTCGATTAACAGTTTCTTTTTCATGAAAAAAATGACATTGAAGGAACTGGAAAAAGTGTTAAAGTGATCAGTCTCTATAAGGGTTGTGCTTTTATCAGAGGAACTGCGTGATTTAGGTTTTGTAAAGGCCCCCCTGCCTTTTGATATATTTTAACCCTTCTTCAGATCTAAGCATTGTTCAAATGTATAAATAAACAGGGCCCACTATTAGTTACCTCAGCTTGCCTAGCACTAATAGGCAGTCTTGATGTCTTGGATTTTGGGGCGTAATTTAAGCACAGTGTTGTTCACCTAGAACTTTACCTGGTCAGACCTTGTGATTTATCTCAGGGAAACAAGACCACTCAAACCTGTCCTAACCAGGAGGAAGAATCTTCCTAGACGTCAGAATTCCTGCCTTGGGGACACTGAGAACAAGAGAGAACCATCATGGTGCAGTGGTTAGCGTGTCAGACTATATCTGGGATTCCCAGATTCCAAAAAAAAAACCTCACTCATGCCATGGAAGCCGGCTGGGTGACCTTGGGCCAGTCACACAACTCTCAGCCTCACCTACCTCACCGGGTTGTTGTTGTAAGGATGAAATGGAGTAGAGGAGAATGATGTAAGCTGCTTTGGGTCCCCACTGGGGGGAAAGGCAGGGTATAAATGAAATAAATGGATAAATAAATAAATAAAAATTCACCATAAGTACAGACTCTTCTGTTTCTGCAGATGGGATGTGCCCACTTGAAAGGTTGGAGAGCCTCGGACATGTCTTCTAGGGCTTGGTGCAAGAAGGCTTCCTGTGCAGTAAACTGAATGTTTCACACAAACACAGGGCTGGGCAGAGAGTTGCCAGGGCACTCCTCCCCTCCTCTGCCCACCCCCAGGCACTCATGCTTGCCTTCCCTCCTGCCCGTGTGCTGCTTGCGCATCCTCCCCTAGCCTGCTCATGAGCTCTCCTGCTGCCCATGCTCACGGCTGCAGACCTTTTCCCAACGGCACTGACCAGGGAGCTTGGGTGGGAGAGACCGCGGGCGAGTAAGCAGGCAGGGGGTGCCGGTCGCAGTGGTCCCTGCCAGAAACCTTGGGCACCAGCAGATGCCCCGCCTCAGGGCACGCAGAGCCCTGCGAAGGAAGCTGGCACTCCTGAAAACTTGTGCCCTGGGAATCTTCTTGGTCTCAAAGGTGCTGCTCGGCTTGAATTTTGCTCACACAAACAGTCACACTTGTTTATAAGAGCTCAGTTGTCCAGCTAGACTGTAAGGGCTGGGCACTGCAGGCCTCTGGGTGACTCGGAGGCTCCCGGTCCACGGTTGTCAGCTGTCAGCTAGCTGCCATTGTATCTGGTGTTACCTGCTTAACGCTTCTTGTAACCTTTACCCCCCCCCCCCCCCCCCTGACCTTATGCTTACTCTGTACTTTGCGGAACTGGCCAAGGTCATGCAGCTGGTGGTGGGAGTCGGTGCTTCGCTCGGCTTGTTATGGGTATCTAGCCTGTGAACTGAACCTGTGTAGATTGTGTAGAACTGTTATGTTCCCATGGAATGGGCGCGCGTTTCTAAATTCTATTCCCGCCAGCGGGAACTGGGCTCATTGGCCCTCACCTGGTTCAAATCTCTTTATTATGTTGCCTATGTGTATTAGCAGTTATTCCTAACAATGTCCTTGTTCCTGTTTGAACCATCGCTTTGAAATAAACCTTACTTTGATCCCAACGTGGAGTTATTTCGAATGCCTGGGGATCCAACATCAGCGTGCCACTTGCAGCCAACCCGGGCAGCTCAACCATGAGCTCCGTTGAGCCCCTGGTGAGCTGGGCGCGGGCTCCGCTGGGCTTCTTGGGAAGCGGTTTTTCAGTGTGGTGGAACCAGCAAGAGGTCTCTTTTTCTTTTTAACTTTTTTTATTTTTACAAAAATAACAATAATAACAACGAGTGTGCCAGTTCAGCCTCTTCAGTACAGGTAAAGATATATAGAACAGAACAGTGTTAATGTTTTACCTAGTTTTCAAATGCAAGAAAGGGGGCCAATATTAAAAACTTAGTGAAGGAAATATATGAAAAAATACATGTATTTATTAATCACAAATTTTAAAAATTATATAAGGGCCCAATCACACATTATGTATAAATAACAAGCGATAAAACACAAGGGCTGATAAATCTGACCTGACAAGTTTCGGCCTACTCTTTCTAAAATTCATATTTTCAAATTTATTCCAACCACCGCTATCATTTGAAGAAGCCCTTGACATTTCCTTCATTAAGTTTTTAATATTGGCCCCTTTTCTTGCATTTAATTAACCTTTGTCAGGTTCTGGATTCTAAGTTTTAGGTTCAGTTTTTTTCTCCTCCCCCCCCTTTTTGTCCCTGTTTACCTAGTTTTCAAAACATTAACTAAAATCTTTCTATTATCTTACAGGTAAGTTTCCATAATATTGTTGTTGTTGTTGTTGTTGTTGTTTATTTTTTGTTTTTTTCATCTTTTCAGGTGGACTTTGAGCAACTTCAGGACAATTTGTGTCAGATGGAGAAGCGGTGCAAAGCATCATGGGATCACCTGAAAGCAATAGCGAAGCATGAAATGAAACTAGCTCTGAAGCAAAAAATGTCTGAGTTCCTTAAGGACTGTGCAGAACGAATAATAATCCTCAAGATCGTCCACAAGAGAATAATTAACAGGTACCACATCTGGGTATACTAACCTGCTGTTAAGATGCCTCCCAAAACCTAAGTTCTTCCAAACTGTCTGCATGTGCGTGCACACGAAAGCTTATACCCAGAATTAAACTTGGTTGGTCTTAAAGGTGCCACTGGGCTCAGACTTTGTTCTATCAGCCATAATTAGCCAAACAGAGCCTTCCTTTTCAGAGGCAGTGTACCTCTGAAAGTAGCAGATGATAGAGAGTACAGGGACATTTTTTTGCAAATGCACCACTGCATTTCAGTATGATCAGCCCTGCTGCCTCCATGGCCCACCCCTCTTCTGCAGTTTACGATGGCAGACCAGCACATTTCTTACTGTTTAAAAAGATTTTTAGCCGCCCTTTCATCCATTGCTTCTGAGTCAGGTAAGAGAAAGGCAATTTTACAGCTAGAAAAACAGGTAACCCATGAAACTCAATGACCAATAAAGCATCAGCTTAAAAAATCATCAATTTGAACAGCCCCAAGAAGATAAAACCAAGGTAATTAAGGAGCAGGAGAAGAAAGGGAGTGCCCCCTTCACAGCCAGATTATTCAGGTGCACCTGCAGCCAAGGACAAAACTCAGCTAAAAGTCTGTGTGAATCCAGCGGTTTGACTTGGTGCCCAAAACCTAACAGCCTAGGCGCCTGGTGAGCTCCACCAGCTAGGTTTGGCTTCAGCAACCTCCCTGGCACCCTTATGCCGCACACAGACCAGGCCTCAGTGGAAGGTCTATATCAGGAGTGTCAAACATGCGGCCTGGGGGCTGGATCAGGCCCCCAGAGGCCTTCTGTCAGGCCCACAGTGGAATTGGATTTCTTCTGCTGCTGCTTCTTCCAGTTCTGCTGCTGCTGCTGCATCATCGTCAGTTTGCAGCTTACAGATACACACTTGAACAGCAGACTAAAGACTGCAACAGCACAGACATTTTGATGCAGTAATTCAGAGCAAGAGGTGTCAGTTATCAGACACCATTAAATAAACAAAATATTGCAAGAGTGCTCATGTTTTGTTTTGTTTTTTAAAACGTATATTTTAATTGGGTTTTTTTATTTTTTGCTTTTACACCGCGTATTATTCAACTTCTTACAATTTTCCTCCCCTCCCTATCTTCATGTTGTCCTTAGTCTTTTAACCCCAGCCATGGGCACAAAGTCTGAATCTTCCTCTGAATGCCTTTTCTTCCTTCCTTTGATACCCAGTCTAAATAGGTCTTCCATCTATTCCGAACTTCTGCAGATTTTTCTTCCCATGTTGTCTCCTTGCATAAAGTTGCAGTGATGTCTGACTGTATAAAATCAAACAGGTAGTTGTGCCAGATTTCAACTGTCCATCTACTTTTATCTTTCCAACCCAAAGCTATAACTGCTTTACCCGTTAATATCATTGATCGTGCTCTTTAAATCCACAAAGGTGCCATAACAATATTGGCTTGTCAAATATCAGGCTTCCCATTGTGCTTGTCAACATTACGTTGAAGTCTATGTTTAAAGTTATTTTGCATACTTTCTTTATAGCTTTAATAATTTCTGCCCAGAATGCCCTTGCTTCTCTGCACTCCCACCACATATGTGCAAACCATCCTTTAGACTGTCTACAGTGCCAGCAAAGGGAACTTAATCCTGGGATCATGTTAGCCAATTGGGCTGATGTCTTGTACCATTTTGTGAGAAATTTATATTCAAGTTCTTTAAATTTAATTACCTTGATTTCGTCTATTCCTTTCATAATTTTTCTGCCATCCTCTCTGTTATCTGTCCTTCTCTACTCCACACTTTTTGTAAATATTCTGTTATTTTATCTTTATTTGATATCATCTTTTTATAAATTTTCCCTACTAGACATTGTTTCTTCTTAATCATTTCTTTATATATAGCTTCCATTGGTTCGTCTGTCCACATTTCTTCTTTTTTGTTAATCTTCTTTACCACCTTATAGAGACCTGCTATTTTTAACCAGTGTTGCTTGCCTATCTCTTCTATTACTTCTTGTAATGGCTTAAGAGTTTTCCCTCTAAACAAGTCCCCCACAGTCCCCCACTCTGTGATATCCTAGACCTTAAAATTTCCCACCATTTGGTTTCTTGCTCCTCTTCATTAGTAGTTTCTAGTGGCGCCCGTCTAGAGGGTCTCCCTAGCCAGTTCGGTTGCCATTTCCTCCAAACTTCTAGTGTTTCTCTTCTGGGGCCTATTGTTAGTTTTAGGTCTTCAGCCGTAACTTTGTAAAAAAATACCTAATCTTCCTATATTGTTATTAATCTCGTTCTCAAATCTAACCCATTTCCGTTCTTTAGAGTGCTCATATTTTAAGCATGTTTTTATTTTAAGTAAAAAAAACACCTTTGTGTTTGTGTCTTTTATAAAGTTTATATCTCCGCTACCTGGCATTACATTTTATGACACACATGACCCGGCCCAATGAGGTCTTATTTATGTCAGATCCGGCCCTCATAACCAAGGAGTTCAACACCCCTGGTCTACATGGATGGCTGGGGACAGGTAGGAGGGGACAGTCTGTTCTAGTGCTCATTCTTTGCCCTCGAGGGCAGGCAGGTAACAACCCATTCCTGCACCAGCCCCTTGGCAAGCCTCGGAAGACGTTCTGTCCATTTGTGAGGTCCCAAGTCCTGTGCATGAGAGAGTGGCAAAAGACACTGTGCTCACCAAGTGTGTGACCCACGTGCAGTCGTTGGGCAGTCCCAATACCTGTCCAAGACGTAACAGAACAACGTGATGTCATTCCTGTGTCAAAGGCTGCTGTTATAGCCCACTGGAACTCAGTCACAGTATGCTGCTACCAGACTGTCAGAAGACGTCACGAACTTCACATTTCTGCAGCAAGCCCAGTTTCTGTGCATTTTCAGATAGCTTTATTCATCGGTATTCTGCATTTAGGTCGCAAAGTTAAGGCCCTCCCTTGGAAGGCCCAGGCTAGCCCAATTTCATCAGATCTTGGAAGCAAAGCAGGGTCAGTTCTGATTAGTGCACAGATGGGAGACCATCAAGGAGGTCCGGGGTTGTCTGCAGAGGCAGGCCGTGGCCAACCACCTCGGAACGTCTCTTGCTTTGAAAGCCCCACTGGGGTCGCCATATGTCAGCTGTGACTTGGCACTTTCTACCACCAGGTTAAGGGTAGATTTCCAAATAGCAGTATTCAAATCCAAAACTGTGTACATCTCTCTTCCTAGCAATGGAGGACACAGTACATTGGGAATGCCTCCTACCTGGGGTAGAATGAATGCGAGTCATGCATATACGTAGCTGAGTTCTTCTTTTTAAAATATCTTTTTTTGAGTATGTGCGTATGCCTGGAGGTCATGGTGGGCTTCTGGCAACCCCTCGTGGGGCTTGGGATGTTTCAGAGAGGTGGCTTGCTATTGCCTGCCTCTGTGTCCCGGGCCAGCCCCGGTATTCCTTGGAGGTCGCCCTTCCAAGTACTTGCCAGAGTCGGCCCTGCTTAGCTTCCGAGATCTGACGAGATGGGGCTTGCCTGGGCCATAGCTGATTTCTTGACCCAGAGGGATCTGTGTCGCAGAAGCTCCTGATGAGTTGATCCCTGTCAGTTAAAATTCAGTTTTGGAAGCTGGAGAAAGGTAAACAGGGAATTGCCATGAGTAACAAGGGCACTGGGGCTCCCTGTCATATTCAAATTAGAGGAATCCAGGTATATTGGCCGTTTATTTCATGGGCCTTAAGATCTTCCTAAAATAAAACTTTATCAGGGTTTTATTTTTGCAGTGGAAGGTGCCATGACTTAGCAGCAGAGCATCTGCTTGGCACGTTTAAGGTCTCAGGTTCAATCCCTGACATCAGCAGTTTAAAAAGGACCAGGCAGTAGGCAGGGCCAAAGCACGGGGTGTACAGGGCGGTACCCCTCACAAATTTTCAGCACCCCCCACCGAATCTGCCATGCCACGTAACCTTCCTCCCAGCAGGTCAGGGTGGGGTGTGGCCACGCTGGGCGCAGAGGCAGGTGAGGCAGTGCAGCTGCCGAGCTGCCAGCCAAACTTGAATGGGGAGTTCGCAAGGGCCGCTGCCCTCAGCCGCCGCTCACCACAGATGAGCCCTGCCCCCACCCTGGGAGGATGCCAGGCCTCCCCATGTGTGCTGCACACCTTATTTCTGCCCTTCTGCAGCCTCACGGGCACTTCCAGGGAAGCTGCCCTGCCACTTCTGGCCAGTTTCACTCTCCACCAATCAGCTGTTAAACCTAACAGCTGAT